AACGGGCTGGGCCCCTCGAAGCGCAACAAAGCGACCTCTCGGAAGCAAGAGGCTGGCGAGAGACCCCTGGGAAGGATGATCCTCAATTCCTCCGCCTCCTCCTCCTCCTCCTCCTCCTCCTCCTTCATTACCTCCTCCTCCTCCTCCCTCTCGGAAGCAAGAGGCTGGCGAGAGACCCCTGGGAAGGATGATCCTCAATTGCGTAAACATTGGCGCGCAGCCTGGCGTCAGCATGCGTTGAGAAGCGAAGGGAGGAGAAGGTTTTTGGAGGAAGGCCAGCATACGAGAGCCACTTTTCCATCCTGCTCTCATCCGGCTCCGACCCCAGGGGGGAGGCTGGTCTCCCTGACTGAGCTTGCCCACGCAAGCCCTCGCTCTGCAAGCTACGATGCAGCTCAGCGGTCAGCGATGGCCTACAGCCCTGTGGCACTGAAAGGGGGGTAGCAGGGACAGTATGATGGTGAGGATGGTGATGCTAATGAGGAGGAGGCAGAGGGCTACATCATGTTCTGTGCGAAAGGTACACGGAGCAAACACTGCGCCCTGCCATGTACCCAAATTATAATAAAAGTCACGCACAAGTGCGCAAGCATTCGTACAAGGTCTCCCGACCTGCTCCGAACATGTAATGCAATTTGTTTCGGCTTGCTGCTAGGCCTCCCTCACATGGACACAACTAGAAGTAATATGTCGATGTCTGCACTCCTTCTACGACGAACTCCGTGGCCTAGCCTGCTATCCTTCTTCGACGATCTCCTAGGCCTTCGGAGACCATGGCCTAGCCTGACTCGGCGCACAACACTTCGTGACGGCCTCGGCTCAGCCGATCCGATGGGGCTCCCGCCGATGGAGCTCTCGAAACCGCGGGGGGACGCCGCGCGCAACTCCGCGAGACGTCCGCAGGAGCTCCCGCAACGTGACTGGACAACAAGCATGCGTCTGACGTGCAAATGCGTCGGGTTGCGCTGCGGGTGTGAACACGTCTGGCAAAAAAGCAGGCCCTCGATGGGCGCGTCGCAGAGGATGGCAAGTGGGGCCAAGGCCACAGGTCTCGATCCGTCCCTGTTCCGCAGGTGGAAGCCTCGACAAAAAGCAGTTCCTGCAGCTGCGCTGACTTGTAATTACACCGACGCCGTCCACTTGCAACAGGCAGACACTGGAGGCCTCTTGGGGCGTCTTGGAGGCCTCTTGGACAATCAGGGACTAATCCTGGTTAGTCTCGGGCCGTCATTGGTCGTTTTCGCGGTCCGGAAACGCCATTTCCAGCGATCCGAGATCGTCTTCGGGCGATCTTAGAAAGCCCCCGGCGCCCCGGCAGGGCCCCCAGGGCCCCCAGTCCTGCCAGAGCCCCCAGTCCTGCCATGCGCTGTCGAGGCCCCCCTCCCAGGCTCCCCTGCCTCGTGCCCAGGCATACATACATCATACATACAGACCTACAAACATACGTGTGTACACATATATATATATATATATATATATTCAGATGTGCATACACACATGCATACATACAAACATGCACATATGCATACATGCATACATGCGTGCATACAGGCATGCATGCAGTAATACATACATGCGTACATACATACATGCATGCACATGCATGAACGCACATACATACATAAATACATACATACATACATACATGCATGCACGCATGCATGCATGTATGCATACATACACGCACTGCATGTATGTGTGTATGTATGTAGGAATGCATGTATGTATGTTTGAATGCATGTATGTATGTATGTGTATGTATGCATGCATTCATGTGTGTATGTATGGATGTATGTGTGTGTGGGTATGTCTATGATTGTATGTATATACGTACGTACGTATGGATGTATGACTGTATGTATGTGTATATGTATACATGCACGTAAGGATGTATGTGCGTATGACAGCATGTATGTACATTTGTATGAGCGTGTGTGTGCATGTATGTATGCATGTACGCGTGCATGGACGCATGTCTGTATGTATGCCTGCACACCTGCATGCATGTGTGCATTCTTGCATACATGCGTGCATGTATGTATGTATGTATGTATGTATGCATGTACGTATGTATGTGTGTATGTATGTATGTATGTATGCATGCATGCATGTACGTATGGGTGATTGTATGCATGCATGTACGTATGTATGTATGTGAGTATGTATGTATGTTGGTATGTAGGTATGTCTGTATGGCGGTATGTCTGTACATATGTATGTTTGCATGTATGTATGTATAGATGTATGAACGCATGCATGTGTGTATGCATGCAGGTATGCATGTGTGTAGATGCCCATGCATGTATGTATGCATGTACGTACGTATGTATGTATGTGTGTATGTGTGTATGTATGTATGTATGTATGTATGTATGTATGTATGTATATATGTATGTATGTATGTATGTATGTATGTATGTATGTATGTATGTATGTATGTGTGTGTGTATGTATGTATGTATGTATGTATGTATGTATGTATGTATGTATGTATGTATGTATGTATGTATGTACGTATGTGCATTTAGATATGTGAGAGAATGTGATCCATCGCCGCTTTACTGTGGAAGATTCCCCCCCTGCTGGAACCCCCCCCTTCCCCCCGGCAACACCCCCCCGTAACCCCTCCCCCCCCTCTTCCTCCGGAAAACCGGGGGGGGGTCACTGCCGCTTCGAACCCCCCCCCTCTGGAAAATCAGGGGGGGGGTCACTGCCGGTTCAACCCCCCCCCCTCAAGAAAACCAGGAGGGTCACTACCGGCTCGAATCCCCCCCCACACTCACCGCCGGCAAACGACTCCTGGGTCCCCACCACCGTCCGCACCACATCCCCCACTGCTGTCCCCAGCACCACTGTCCCCACCACCACTGTCCCCACTGTTCCCACCACCGTCCCCATTGTCCCCATCAGTGCCCCCACCACTGTCGCACTGTCCCCACTGTCCCCACCACTGTTCCCACCACGGCCCCACTCTCCCCACCTTCCCCACGGTCCCCACCACTGCCCCACTGTCGCCAATGTCCCCACTGTCCCACTGTCCCCGCCGCTGTCCCTCTGAGCTGTCCCACTGTTCCCACCACTGTCCCCACTGTCCACACCACCACCATTGTCCCCAATGTCCCACTGTCCCACCACCGTCCTCGCCACCGCCCTCACCACTGTCCCCACCACCACTGTCCCCACCACTGTCCCACTGTCCCCACCACATTCCCACTGTCCCCACACCACTGTCCCCACTACCACCGTCCCCAACACTGTCCCACAGTCCCCACCACTGGCCCACTGTCCCCACTGTTCCCACAAGTGTTCCCGCTGTCCCCACCAGTGCCCCCACCAGTGCCTCACTGCCCCCACTCTCGCATCCATTGTCCGACCACGGTCCCACTCTCCCCACTTTCCCCACGGTTCCCACCACTGACCCACTGTCCCCACTGTTTCCACTACTGTCCCACTGTCCCCACTGTCCCCGCCGCTGTCCCACTGTGCTGTCCCACTGTCCCCACTGCCCCAACCACTGTCCCACTGTCCCCACTGTCCCCACCACTCTCCCCACTCACCGCCGGCAAACGACTCCCGGGTCCCCACCACCGTCCGCACCACATCCCCCACTGCTGTCCCCAGCACCACTGTCCCCACCACCACTGTCCCCACTGTTCCCACCACCGTCCCCATTGTCCCCATCAGTGCCCCCACCACTGTCGCACTGTCCCCACTGTCCCCACCACTGTTCCAACACGGTCCCACTCTCCCCACCTTCCCCACGGTCCCCACCACTGCCCCACTGTCGCCAATGTCCCCGCTGTCCCACTGTCCCCGCCGCTGTCCCATTGAGCTGTCCCACTGTCTGTCCCCACTGTCCCCACTGTCCCACTGTCCCACCACCGTCCTCGCCACCGCCCTCACCACTGTCCCCACCACCACTGTCCCCACCACTGTCCAACTGTCCCCACCACATTCCCACTGTCCCCACACCACTGTCCCCACTACCACCGTCCCCACCACTGTCCCACAGTCCCCACCACTGTCCCACTGTCCCCACTGTTTCCACAATTGTTCCCGCTGTCCCCACCAGTGCCCCCACCAGTGTCTCACTGTCCCCACTCTCGCTACCATTGTCCCAACACGGTCCCACTCTCCCCACTTTCCCCACGGTTCCCACCACTGACCACTGTCCCCACTGTTTCCACCACCGTCCCACTGTCCCCAGTCCCCGCCGCTATCCCACTGTGCTGTCCCACTGTCCCCACTGTCTGCACCACTTTCCTACTGTCCCCACTGTCCCCCCCACTGTACTGCTGTCCCACCACCGTCCTCACCACCACCTTCACCACTGTCCCCACCACTGCCGTGCCCACCACTGTCCATCTGTCCCCACCACTGTCCTGCTGTCCCCGCATCACTGTCCCCACCATCACCGTCCCCACCACTGTCCGCACCACTGTCCCACCTGTCCCCACACCACTGTCCCCACCATCACCGTCCCCACCACTGTCCCAATATCCCCACCAATGTCCATCTGTCCCGAGGTGCGGGAATCGTTTGCCGGCGGCGGGGGGGGGGGTCGAACCGGTAGTGACCCCCCCTTCCTTTTCATGATGAACTGGGGGGGGGTTCGAACCGGTAGTGACCCCCCCGGTTTTCGAGGGGGGGGGGGGATGGGTTGGGAATCCCCAGTGACCCCCCCAGTTTTCCGCCAGCAGCGGTGGAACACGCTCGCTCAGGTATGTTTATTGGTTCGTATGTATGTGCGTAGCTATTGATGGACGCGCACCATGTACACACACATATTCATGTATACACATAGATCTGCACACGAGCGCTAGGAGAAGAAGCCCTATGCAGCCAGCTCTCCAGGGCCAAAAGGTTCTGGAGGCGCTCATCCAATCCCCAGCAAATCCCCCGCCTCCTCCGTGCCATTGTTGGGGCCCGCAGGGGCGGAGCGCCGTGCGCGAGTGCAGGGCGCTCGACGCTCCCAGGCGCTCGGGCTCCGGCGGGCGGGCTCAGGGCTCGGCGGCCCCCTGCCGTGGGTCGGGAGCCCCCGCCTGCTCCGTGCACAGCGCCGTCGCCACCTCCTCCAGGCAGGGCGCGAGCCGAACAGTGCTTCCCGTTCTCGTATGCTCTCGTGTTCCCTCGAGCTTTGCCTCCGTGCCGCCTTCCCAGACCCCCGACGTCATGAGTTGTAGCACGACCGTCGACCCCAGGAGGTCTCCAACCATTCCCCAGGACTGGTCTTTCATGCTGAATCGCTGTTTGGCGGTCCCGAGGCCCGGTGAGGGCCCCAAGAGGCCGAAAGTAGCAACATAACAAACTCCCGCCATGATTTTTTCGTGGCCCGAGGGGGGGGGGCTTGGCTTTGCTGCGAAACGAGGTCAAAACGAAACGGTCCAAACAACGCGATCGCCACAACACCGTTCGGCTCGCGCCCTGCCTTGCGGGGGCAGCAGGCGACCACAACCACGTCGAAGACACACCCTGGGGGATGTCTTGCGCATGCCAAAAGCTGCCAGAACAACGAGACCAGCTTCGTGCAGCTGTGGTCGATGCTTCCCAGGACGGCCAAATCAGCCACAACCACAACCGAAGGGGTCATGCCAAGGTCGGTGTGCTCTCCCCCGAGGGTCGGCGGCGAGCGAGTGTGGGGGGAAGTGAGAATAGGGCGGGCCTTCGAAGAAGGCTCGGAAGCCCCCCGGCCTGCTGCGAAGTGGTCTAAGCCATCCCCGAAGGCGCAACAAAACTTCTCGGAAGGCCGGAGGGCTCCTGAGAGAAGCCTCGGAGCCTTTTTTGAGAAGGCCATCTCCTTCTCACTCTTCCCTTCCCCCCTCGCCCGCTGCCGAGAGGTGCCCTCCGAAATCCACTTCTCTGTGGCTGTGGTTCTCTGCTGTGCCCAGACGCCTCCAGGTGTGCCGCGCACGGCCCCGCGGCCTCGCCGAGGCGCCCGCCGCGCGGCGGGACCACGAAGGGCGCGCTGCCCGGGTCCCGACGCAGCAGCGCCGACCGCACCGCGGTCGCCACCGCCTCCTCCACGGCGCCCGCGACCCTGCACCTGGTAAGGCTCCTCCTCCTCCTCCTCCTCCTCCTCCTCCTCCTCCTCCTCCTTCTCAGACTCGCATCACGTGACGGAGAAAAGCTGACAAGCTGAGAACGCCAGCGGCGAGAATGAGGCGCGGGAGAGGGGCAGGGACCCTGAGGTCCAGGCGCTGCAGTCTCTTCACCACGGGCATTATCGCCCGGTTTTGGGCCCCTGGGCTCAGGTCGGGCATGTCCTCCCATAGGCAGATTTCGGGCGACGAATGAAAAAGTCCAGAAATATGCAAAAATCGTGCAGAGTGCAGAAGGATAGGCAAAAAGTCGTCCCCGGATCATATCCTGCCTATTCCTGAACACTCCTCCTGCAGAGGGGTCCGCGCCTCGCCCGCCCGCGCCGTGCTTCGACGGGCTCTTTCGGTGCTAGGGGATGGGCCCCGCAGAGCCCGGGAAAAACAGCACAGCGCACCTCGAGGACCGAGAACTCTCGCGCGGACTCGCTCGTCCTCCGAGCTGGCGGAGTCCGCCTCCCGAAGGCGATCAAGATCGCACCGCTCGATGGTCCGCTCGCGGCGGACCCTTCCGCAGGGCCCTACTTTTTCGAGGCGGGGGGTTATCCGTAGCCACCACCTGGGGGACCGACGTTCGGCGGCCTCGGCGGCGGGCGGCGGGTACGCATATATATATATATATATATATATATATATATATATTATATATGTATATGTATATATTATATATATATATATATATATACACGACCACCCTTCGGGTGGAGGTTGTGGGGGGGGGGGAAGAAGGGGGAACCAACATCTGACTCAATCGATATCACGATCGATCTCACTCAACGGGACACCACGGGACACACATACATATACACACATATATAGCGGCCACCGTGCCCCAAGGAGGCCCCAAGGATGTCCCCAAACGGCTCCCAAGATGCCCCAGGAGGTCCCCAAGAAGCCCCCAGGACGCCCGAGGAGGCCCCCCAAAGGCCCCCGAGAGGTCGCAACGGCCCCCAAGAAGCCCTCGAGAGGCCTCCTGCGACATCCCATGGGACATCCGGGAGGCCAGTGGCCCACAGTCCAAGCACGGTGGCGGGATGGGCCGAAGGCCATTCGATACTCGGGCCTTCGAGCCAATAAATCGGCAGCCACGTCGGGAGAAATCGAATCGGGGGGAATCGGCAGGCCAGTGGCCCTCCGTGGAGACGTCGGAACCCAGCTCGGAATCCGACGTCGGATCGACTCGGAATCGGCATCCATCAAGATCGGGGTCGAAGTCGAATCGGAGGAGGCGCAAGGAACCCTGCGCACCCCTGCGAGGGGGGGGCAGCCAGACCCCCCACGGCCCACCGCCCCGCGGAGAGAGGCCACCGCCTCGCGCAGTGTTTCTGTGCCCCACGGCGGGCACCGCCCGCTGCCGCCGTCCTGGGGGGGGGCCAGCAGCAGCATGCCGCACACCGGTACGAGCAGGGGATGTGTCGACCCGGGGAGGGGGAGGAGGAGGAGGAGGAGGACAAGGAGGAGGAGGAGGAGGAGGAGGAGGAGGAGGAGGAGGAGGAGGAGTCCGTAGCCATTTTGGCTCCAGCCATTTTGGCTCAAGTAACACATTTATCGAGGTTGCGAAGGGCTTTTCAGCGAATCTCTCTGTCACAGGGCTGCCAAGCCGGACAGAGACGCTTTTCGGCATCATTTTCTTCTCAGGCAGATTTCCTACATAGTTGTGCTGCAGCAGTGGTGCGCCAAGAGGGCATCCCGCGTTGGAATTGCCCATGTGGAAGGTATGTGAAGCATCATGCGGCATGCTTGTGCGGGTTTCGATTCGTAGATATGCAGCAGGGGCCCAGAGGCGGCAGATCGTTGCCAATCGGCACAAGCAGGCCCCCAGCACGTGGCAACAGTCAACCGCCACCGCGTCGACCGAACAGCCGTGGCAGGCCCGAGGAGAAGAGCAAGGGCATTCAGCCGTGGGCAGACAAGCAGGTGAAAGCGTACATGTCGAGGATCCAGCCCATCACGAAAGAGCAGGCGGCCTCTCACGAGAGTTATATGCATGCGCCCGAGGAACCGCACGCCTTGCACAAATGGAAGTTGGAGTTGAGGTACCGCATGGCGGACATCACTTCATTGGCGATGGCAGCAAAAAGAGCCTCGGAGTTCGAAGACGCCGAGCGACACGATCGCAAGCTGGCAGTGATGAAATGTATGCTCGCAAACACCCTCTCGTACTCGCAGCAGCTCGCCGACCTGAAGAGTCGCAAGGAAAGAGCCATGGTCAGAATGCAGAACACCATTGCTCGAATGAACGACCTCAAGACGCAGGAGGGCGAGATTGCCACGGAAATCGAGCAGTAAAGGGGTGCATGGCAGAGATAAGAGGAGCTGCAGCTGGAGGACGACGACATGGTCGGTGGCCCCGTACCTCCGCCGCCGCCGCCTCCTGCTGGTGGATGTGGGCTTGGGCCTGCGGGTGCGATGACGCACCAGGCGGCAGGGCCTTATGGGCCAGCGCCGCGCACGCATGTGCCCCAGCAGCACGTTACCCAAGGGATAAGCGAGATGAAATTCATTATGTTACAGTTCAATCAGCAGTTCCATCAAATGGCGCAAAGGCAGCAGCAGACCGATTTGATGATTGGATATCTTGCCCAGATTGCAGCAGGGCAGAGTGCAGGAAGTACGGCGACGCCTGTTTTACCAGCGGGAACGGCTACCAGTGCAGGGACAGACACGTCTTCGCCTCTGCAGCAGCCACCATTCCCCCCACGGTCGCCGTTTTGTTTTGCGGGGTTTCCTGTACCAGAGACGCCTGTCGGCCATGGCATACCAGTGTCAGGAACGCCAATTTCAGCATCGTCAATACCGCCTGGACAGTGGACACCTACGGAGGCAGCAGGTACGCATATGGCAGCGCCAGCTACGCCGATCACGGGGTGCGACACGCCAGGGAAACATGTGTTTGGCACGCAGAGCGAGACGGTTCCAGCAGTGGGGCGACCCTCACCGACGAGCCCAGCGAGGGAGGTCAAAGAGGAAAGGCCAGTCCCATTGCCAACGCCTGTGTGCTCGCCAACGCAGCCGATCAATACGCAGCAGGAGTTCGTCAGCCCGCTGAATATGCAATACAGTGTCACGTCGCCGTCGCAGTGGCCAAGCTCAGCCCAGCAGGCCGAGGCTATCAACATGGCAGTGAAAGAGGAGGAACGTGTGAAGATGGAGGAGGGCGATGTGGGGTCGCCGCCCAGGAAGGAGCCCAGGACGGTCGCGGAGCCAAGCGCACCGACCAAGCAGGGCAAGCAGTAGGTGGCGGCATCCAGCATGCACGTTCATTTGCACACACAACGCATCTTGTGCGCAGCGCATGCGGGGCGCAGCACAGTAGGTACGACCGTCGCAGTTGTGAGGCACCTCGGTCGCGCGAGATTGACCCTTGCCTGTCGTTAGTGAGTTTGTCTGACCAAGAGTGGCACCAGGCAGACTCTGTCAAGGATGGGGCGGGGGTGGTCTCGTTTGGGAGTGGGGCTGGGATGGGACCTTACGATCGGCCTCCGCCTACGCCAGGCGCGCAGCAAGCACAGCATGCAGCAAGCGTGATGGCACGAGTTTTAGCAGGGCGTTGCCGCCCATGGTCAGGCGTAGCCGTCTCGTGGGACGAACAATTCGCTTTTGAAGGCTGGATGCTGTTCTGCGTTGACTGGGCCGCCAAACAGATAGCTTCCAGCCGTGTTTTAGCACCTCTTGCCCCAGGCGGGCAAGCCAGGCGTGAGTTGGCGCGTGGGATATGCATGGACGCGTGGGAACATGCGCGGACAACACGCAGAACAAATGCACACCGTGCGGAGATGTTGCCCCGTCTCGATGCAACGGCTTGGCGAGTGCACATGTGCAATGCATTCGGTGCAGTGTGCCGTGCACGTCGCACGATGTGTATAAGCCCGCGTGGCAGGCCTTACTTGTGCGAATAAGATTTTGTTTGGACTCGGCCAGGGTCCGATGCTTTTTGGGATTCCGACTTGCACTTCCAAGACCCTGTTGCACCTACAGCTCGGTCGGTCGGCGTGGCAAGTACCGAGCCATCCGCTGACAATGAGGCAGGTGGTGACGGTGCGGCCGATGACCAAGTGGAGCGGGTCGGCACGAGTTTAGTGCAAATGTGGGCTGGTAAGGCCCCCCTCACCTTCACCAGTGAGGACTCCCTTGCTGCAGGCCTGCAGGCTGTGAATAAGCTTGCCAAGCTAGGCGGTGTTAAACATGAGGCAAGTAGGGTCAATGCTGAGCTTCCGTCATTCGAAGTCACGCCACAGGCAGGCTTGCTGAGCGCGAGCCCCTTTGTGCATCTTGCCGCGTCTGGCCTTGGAGATAGGCAACAGGCGGCCGTCGAAGATGGATGGGGGGCTTTGGACGCGTGGGGGGAGGGAGGCGTCTCTCTGCAGTTTGGAAGTGCTGGATGCACCCAGACGCATGTGCCCGCCAGAAGGGGCCAGAAGGCTGTCACGTTCGGAGGTACCGCAACTCGTGAGTACGACCCTAGCATGGGGCTAGTCGTGCCCAGCAGTCAAGGTCCCGAAGTAGGCCCAGGTCCCAAGCTTCCTGCACCAAAAACGATCATCAGTTTAGATACGCTCACCTCTAGGGTCGAAAGGCACGTAAGATGTGATTTCCAGGGGGGCCGATCGGATCGCACAGTGTCTTGTCGAGCATGGGCAGCAGCTCGCGTTTGTGAAAGAGATGGGGGAGGTTGTATTGAAAGACAGTTCGCATTTTGCATTGTAGCTTGCCCCACCATGTAGTAGTCCATCAGAGCAGGTCATCTTATACACCGATGGGTCGGTGCCCTCTGAGAAGGAGTTGAGCGGGTGGGCCCTCGTAGGCACATGTCTTGATGACCAGGGTGACGTCAAGCTCATGGGGTATATGGCAAATAATGTTCACGACTCGATAGGTTTTGTTCTGAAGAAGGACGTGAGTAGTGTGTCTGCTGAGCTCGTAGGTAATATCTGGGCTCTTGTATGGGCCGTTGGTAAGTCTCGCCCCGTTCGTGTGCCTTCTGACCCCCTTGCCAGCATCACGACATGTTCTGATTCGGAGGTTGCCATCGGTTTGACGCTAGGGTCATGCGTTGGTAAGGCAGAGCCCCAGCTTGCTGCATTGGCACGGCATTTGTGTGACCTGGCGTGTGCGCGCGTGCACGTACATAGCGAACATGTGCATGGACACAACAAGCATTGTTGGAATGAGTTAGCAGATGACATCGCTAAGTCCACCAAGAGTTTGGAATATGACTGTGTTCACCCCGCCGTTGTACGGCAGCTTTTTTACACGCCAGAGCTTGCTTGGGACTGGATCGCTGAGCTCAATGAGCAGCAGCGGCAGCAATACCCTCTCGCAGGTTGCAGTGCCATGGTCCTGGGGGACAGGCCGCAGTCATGTGAAGAGAACGGTAGAGGTACATTCATCCAGGCTGACCCGGGGACCTTTGGGAAGCCAGAGCTCGACGTTGAGGTTTCAAAATCGGTGGTGACGCGAAGTTTTGCGTTGGTCTCGTATAACGCCGGAACGGCCCAGGACATCGTCAAGGGGGAAGTTCAGGTTTTGCGAGGGCAACAGTTGCGCCAGCAATTCCAGGAGGCCGAAGCCCTTTTTGTCGGCGTTCAGGAGGCACGCACACCACGTGGCAGTAAGATGGCCGACAACTTTTGCTGCTTTGCCTCAGGAGCGGAGGAAGGGAAAAACCTGGGGTGCGAATGATGGGTGAACTGTGCGGTCCCATATGCGCGGCGCAAGGGAAAGGAGTTGAGGTTCAAAGCCAGGCATTGTATGGTTGTCGTGGCGGATCCTCCGTGCTCGGTCGTGTAGATAAACGCGCCATATTGGAAGGTAGTCGTCATGGTGTGTCATTCCTTATGTCTAGAGGCTCCCCATCCCAAGAGGCAGGCCTGGTGGAACGAGATGCAGCAGCTCGTGACCAGGCATGGTGTGGATATTTTGCTTACTGACGCGAATGCGCGCGTCGGCCGTGTTTGCAGCAGTTCTGTCGGTGGCATTGCTGCAGATGCCGAAGATAGCAATGGAGTTATGTTTCACCTTGTGCCACTCCCAGTTGTGCGCGTGTAGCACACTTGTTGCTTCCGAGGCTCCAGCACACACATGCCAATGTAAGAAGGGCGCTCGTCACCGCATTGATGTTGCACGCGTGCCTATCGTATGGAGCTCACACATCGTCGAGCAGGGTGTTGTGCATGACGTGGATGTAGAACGTACACATAATGATCACTGCCCTGTGTATGCGAAGCTTGAGTGGGCAGAGGAGATCGGAGGGCAGCGAGGGCTGCCAGTTTTTGACATCCAAACTGCCCGCGAGCCAGAGAAGCAAGTTTCATGTTCCCAAGACTTGCTAGCGCCACCGCATGTACACTGGTCAGTGGATG